AGATAATACACGCAGGGTGCTTAGAGGTCCCAGGTGTTTGGCAACTACTGAATATATTTGTACCTTCAAACTCTCTGACCATGACCTACAGTAAGAAGTACAATTTATATCACTGCAGAGAACATGCAGGCATAAATACATATTTATATAATAAGAAAAAACGTTTCACAAAACAATACCCTTACAACAAGCAACACATTCTGATATTTTCAATTATGTTGTTGTTGTTTTCCTTTCTGGTGAAGATATACAGGCATACACCATTTCAACAATTTCTTCATGTACGACTCAGTGACATTGATTGCATTCTTCAAGTTGTATAACCATTCTTACCCTTCTTCTCCAAAGTGTTCCACCACCATTGACTTCAACTCACTGCCCCCTTAGCTTCCCGTCTCACTTTTCAAATTGCTGTAGTCAGTTTGATCTCGTGTTGTTTTCATGCTGATCACAAACCACTAAATTGATTTCACACTCCACTGTTGGCTCACACCCTGTAGTGTGAAATGAATATTAGTAAGAAGCAGCAGTAGCTTTACTCTTATCCCGGGCTGCCAGTCCCGGCTTCCTCCCTTCCTCTCACTCCCGTGCCCTGAGCCCACCTTGGGACTGAGTCAGACCCAGGCCACGTCAGCTCTGGCTGGGCAGGCAGCAAACCCCTGAGGGGGAGCTTAGCGGAGGGGCCCCTTTGTCAACTGTCCTGAGCTCAGCCTTTTCTGTGTGTCTCCCAAGCTCTCTCTCTGCTGGGGGAAGGAGACACCTTCGCTAATCAGACACCGTGCCCTCATAGCCCCTCTGGGAGAAAGGCATCATTCTCCCCATTTCTCAGATGAGACGCCAGAGGCCAACAGGCATGAAGCGACTACGGAATAGGAATAAACAGGACTGGTTATCCATTGGAATTCAGGATATGAGTTAAGCAGGGAAATTGGCTCTCCAGAAAATGCTGTGGAAATGCTGAATAGCATTAATAGGTGGCTCTGGAAGAGAAAGTGCTGGGGACACAGAAAAGCAGAAATGAAAATGAGCAGGGGGGGAGCACCCCTGCCAGATGGCAGCTGACATGAGCAGGGACAGCTGCATTGGGGGGGATGCTGACCTCGAGAGGGACTAAGAGGCAGCCAGCAGCCAGTGTGAATCACAACTGTTGGCTCCAGCCCTACTCAGGGCAGAGGCTGAAGCAAGATGTCAGGCAGGGTGGGAAGGCCATGCCTGCCCCTGCCCTCACCTAATCTCATGCCACGATGGACAAGTGTATTTATTAAGTGGAAGGCTGACATGGTTGCTGGTGGCCAGTGGATGTAGACCTGTTCCAAGGATTCCCTCACCCCTTCCCAGGGGAGGGTCCCTGTCTGGCTATAGTTGTGGCCCTGCCTCCAGGGAGTGAGGAAGTGGACCTGCCAATTGGACACAGGACAGATAATAATATGATGTGGCCAAGATGAACTGGAAGAAGACATGGCAATGATTTGGAAGAGGCAATGGGGCCGCGAAATGTGATGGGTTGGAGTTAAGATTCTATTGGGGTCCCTACTCTCCATCCAACAAATCATCACTGAGTACCTACTGTGATGTTCCAAGTCCTGAGGTAAACAATGGGGAGATAGGTGGACCCTCCAGGCTCACAGTATAGTGAGGAGTGGGGAAGAAAGAGACAGACAATCACATTAAGAGTATTCTGATTGATAGATGCACAGAGGAGCACATCTACCCCTCTTGACAGGGCTGGGGGAGGGTCTCCAGAGATGATGCCTAATCTGGTATCCAAGCATTTTCCCAGATGGACAGTGGAAGGAAGGGCCTTCATGTCACAGGGAGCAGCAACCACAAAGTACAAGGATGAGAGACATTTGAGCAAACTCTGGAACTGTGACTCCATGGGCTGGAGTGTAGGGTGAGAAATGGAGGTGGAAGACCAGCTCTGCCATTTACCTGCTTCATGACCTTAGACAAGTCACATAAACTGTCAGCTGTAAACCACTCCCTGAGATACCCAAAAATATTTGGTTTAATGGGCACCTATTGAGCATCCATCCTTGGAAACCCTATGGGGCAGCTCTACTCTGTCCTATAGGGTCACTATGAGTGGAAATTGACTTGACGGCAACAGGTTTGTTTTTTTTGGTATACAGCATCCAAAGAACCCTGGTGGCACAATGGTTAAGCACTCAGCTGCTAACAGAAAGGTCATTGGTTTGAACCCACCACCTGCTCTCTGGAAGAAAGACTTGGAGATCTGCTCCCGTAAAGATTACAGCCTTGGAAACTCTATAGGGCAGTTCTACTCTGTCCTATAAGGTCACTATGAGTCGGAATTGACTCAGCGGCAATGGGTTTGACTTAGCATCCTCTGTGAGCCAAGCATGGTACCAGGTTGGCTGGGGCTGCAGGGGAGAGGAATACGGAAATAAATCAAAAACACAAATTCTACTCTCCAGAAGCACACCGTCTAGTGGAAGAGACAGACATGCTACAACATGCTATATGTAAGTGTTATGAACAAAGCTCTAGAGAGATGGAAGCAATTAATGCTGCTCAGGGAAGCGGTGGCAGTTAAGTTGGTCCAGAAAGGATGAGCTGTTCTACCAGATGGAGAGAGAGAAAAGCATGTCAATACGTGTGTCTACAGGCATGGAGGAAGAAAAGGACACCGGTGTGTTCATACAACCGGAAGAGGACCTGAGAGGCTAGAATGCTCAGTCCGGGGTACAGGAGAGACAGGAGGTAGCTGTGACACCAGTGTCTGTCACAGTGTGACAAAGGTGAATTTTACCCTAGCCCTTTGTTAAAGAAAACCCCTCACTCTCTTGTGTGTTCTGGAGAAAGTATACTGTCAACAACTGAGGAAATGGATTTAATAATCCACTCTGTTTAAATAACTTTAGGTGTTTCCACTACTAATCTCCCCCAATACTTCTGTCCCTTTCCCCCCTCCAGGTCTCTCAGGATCCACATGGATTTATCATCCCAGAGGTCAATCCCACTAACATTCTTTTAAAAGGCTCTCAGTTCTCTGCTTCAGTAGAGTAGAAGCTGGTCTCTCTCCCCATTGTGATGATCCCCTTCTTTACCACTGCAATGTTCCTTTGCTCCCCTCCCTTCCCTCAGTCCTTTCAATCCTTTTTGAATTAAGTCTTCCTTGCCAGTTTTAACGTTGTCCAGCCACCTGGCCAACCAACTGGAAGAGATCCATATTCATGCCTATTCCCAAGAAAGGTGATCCAACCGAATGCGAAAATTATCAAACAATATCATTAATATCACACACAAGTAAAGTTTTGCTGAAGATCATTCAAAAGCGGCTGCAGCAATATATAGACAGGGAGCTGCCAGAAATTCAAGGCGGATTCGAAGAGGACGTGGGACGAGGGATATCATTGCTGATGTAAGATGGATCCTGGCTGAAAGCAGAGAATACCAGAAAGATGTTTACCTGTGTTTTATTGACTATGCAAAGGCATTCGACTGTGTGGATCATAAAAAATTACGGATAACATTGCAAAGAATGGGAATTCCAGAACACTTAATTGTACTCTTGAGGAACTTGTACATAGACCAAGAGGCAGTCATTCAAACAGAACAAGGTGATACTTTGTGGTTTAAAGTCAGGAAAGGTGTTCATCAGGGTTGTATCCTTTCACCATACCTACTCAATCTGTATGCTGAGCAAATAATCCGAGAAACTGGACTATACAAAGAAGAATGGGGCATCAGGATTAGAGGAAGACTCTTTAACAACCTGTGTTATGCAGATGACACAACCTTGCTTGCTGAAAGTGAAGAGGACTTGAAGCACTTACTGATGAAGATCAAAGCCTTCAGTATGGATTACGCCTAAACATAAAGACAACTGGACCAATAAGCAACATGATGATGAACGGAAAAGACTGAAGTTGTCAAGAATTTCATTTTACTTGGATCCACAATCAACACCCATCCAAGCAGCAGTAAAAAAATCAAAAGATGCATTGCATTGGGCAAATCTGCTGCAAAAGACCTCTTTAAATTGTTGAAAAGCAAAGATGTCACCTTGAAGACTAAAGTGTGCCTGACTCAAGCCATGGTGTTTTCAATCGCCTCATATGCATGTGAAAGCTGGACAGTGAATAAGGAAGACAGAAAAAGAATTGATGCCTTCAAATTGTGGTGCTGGCAAAGTGTACTGAATATAGCATGGACTGCCAAAAGAATGAACAAATCTGTCTTGGAAGAAGTACAATGCTCCTCGGAAGCAAGGATAGCAAGACTATGTCTCTCATATTTTGGACATGTTATCAGGAGGGATCAGTCCCTGGAAAAGGACATCATGTTTGGTAGACAGTCAGCAAAAAAAGAGGACGACCCTTGACAAGACGGATTGACACAGTGGCTGCAACCATGAGCTCAAGCATAACAACGACTGTGACGATGGCGCGGGAGCAGGGAGTGTTTTGTCCTGTTGTACATAGGGTCCGAACTGACTTGACGGCACCTAACAACAACAGTGCAGTTTTTGATAAGTGACAGTACGTGTGACACAGAGGCCCCAGGCCAATGCAGATTCACAGATTCACACCTTACCTGGGTCAATGGCAGGCCCCCAAGTATCACCACCATCATCACCATTGGCCTTGTCCGGGCCCAGCTCCCCAACAACCCCAAAGAGACGAGCTTAAAGGGCCTGTCAACACAAGCCCAGCCCTTTATGTCACATACTGAAAAACTGAGCCACGAGGGGCAGGTCGAAATGACGAGCTCATACAGCTGAGTGTGACAGGCAACGGTGGCAAACAGGCTCTTGATTCTAGCCAAGCTCTTTTTACCCCCTAAAGAGCACTACACCTTTGAGGAGCTTATTGCCCTCATCTGTAAAACGGAGAGAACCTTCCAGTACTTCCAGAAGCCATCGGAAGACAATGAGGGAGAGGGAGTAGGCGGTGCTGGTTGAGCAATAAAACGACAGCAGTTTGCGAAGTCCCTGGAGACACAGTCACGCCTCCCGGTGTCCCTTTCTCGCTGCCCCGCCTCCTTCCACCGCCTCTTCCGGTTTCTCCTCGCGGGCTCGCCCGCCCTTCCGGTCCCTCCTCTCGGGCCTGCCCGCCTCTTCTGGTCCCTCCCCGAGGGCCCACCCCTCTTCCGGTCCCTCTTCTAAGCCCAAGTCGTTCAGCTGTGCCTTTTCCCGGCGCCACCATTGGCAGAAAATCCGAGCCGCCCCTGAGGGCGCGGAGAGACGCGCTCCTGATTCCCTGTCCCCGGACGTGACGCTAGAAAGGCCCTCCCCTGAGGAAGTGACGGCAGGAGTGCCCTTGACGGGCGGGGAGGGCTGAGCTGTGGATTTCCTCCGCTCGCACAGCAGGGAGGTAGGCGGCCTGTGTGAGGGGTGGCTCCAGGTGGTGTCGCGCCTGAGGCACGCTGCGGGCGCGTTGTTGCGCGGGCCGGCGGCCCAGCGAGCGGAGACCCCGGGCGGGGGGACCTGGTCCCACGGCCATCCGGGGTCCCTGGTGGCGCCTTATGTCCCAGTTCTCTCCTTTTAGTCCCTTTCCTTTTAGTTCCCCCACACTCCTATTCCTGTGATATTTAGTTCCTCCTTGAATCGTTGCTGTTCTCATTTCCTAGTACTTGGACAACCCTTTATACTAGTATTTGGACAAACACTTTATAATAAAAAATAATCGATAGAACAAGGACTTTGACCTTGCAGACATCCTTGTGTGCCAGTGTTAACGCTCTTTTAATAGTTGGGTTGCTTTGGGTATGTCACTTAACCTACCTGAGCCTCAGATTCTTTATCTTTAAAATGGGCAGTAGAGCAGCTTCTCAGAGTTGTTGTAGGCATACGGAGAGGAGCCAGGGTAGCCTGACTTAGAAGCTGGGAGTCCTTCTAGGCAAATCTCTGGCAGATTCTTTTGCTCAGGGAGAGCTAATAATGTAAGTAAGACACTTGACCCTTAGCAGATGCTCGGTAAATATTGCTTTCTCCCTTCTCACTTCTGTGGTAATTTCATTCATATCCTGATTTCTTTTTGGTTGTCAACCCAATTTTTCCTGTCTTTCTGGCTTGCCGCTCCTTCTTCCCTTTGATTCTCAGTCCTCCCTCACCTCTACTCCAGAAAGCGTATGGATTATTTTCCTTGTGTTTCCCTCATATCTCTGCACCCCCAGTATTCCCAAATCTGTTTGTTTTTCTGCGTGTTGACTTCTTCCCCTGCTCTGCCTTCCTTTTCCCATCACAGATGGCTCAGCGACTTCTCCTGAGGAGGTTCCTGGCCTTGGCCATCTCCAGGAATCCCCCTCAGGGTCGATGGGCACCCCTCACATCTGGAGCCCTACAGAGCCCACAGTGCCATCCTGGTGGCCTGGCAGCAACACTCAGCCCAGCCCGAACAGTACATACCACCAGAGTCTGTACCACGACTTTTAACATCCAGGATGGGCCTGACTTTCAAGACCGAGTTGTCAACAGTGACACACCAGTGGTTGTGGATTTCCATGCACAGTGAGTCCTGGGGGGCAGTGGAAGACTGGGGTCTCACTTGTTCAGATGTTTGCTGAGCGCCTGCTGTCCCAGTGCCGTGCTTGGCTGCCAAGACATCGTCCTGCTCTCAAGGAGAGTGCAGTCCAATAGGAGGCTGACTGTTGTTAGCTGCTGTCAAATTGGCCCTCTACTCATGGCAACAAAACATGCTGTCCCCATGATCAGTTACAAATCAGACCATTGTAATCCATAAGGCTTTCATTGGATAATTTTTGGCTGTAGATCACCAGGCCTTTCTTCCTGGTCTGTCTTAGTCTGGAAGCTCTGCTGAAACCCATTCAGCATCCTAGCAACATGTAAGCCTCCACTGACAGATGGGTGGTGGCTGCACATGAGGTGCACTGGCCAGGATTTGAACCCACGTCTCCAGCATGGAAGGTGAGAATTCTACCACTGAACCACTAATGTCCCTAGGAAACAGATTAGTAAACAGTTTAGTGCTCTCTGTGGTTAGTGCTGGGACAGACTTAGTTCTGTATCTGACTCTTCAGATGTCTCAGAATCATCTTCAGCTTGGCCCAGAGCAGGAAAAATATGACTAGAGCACTATCTGGCAAAAAGTTATCATGAGCTCGCCAGGGCTGGCATTTCTTTTCAGTGCTATGAGTTTGTTTTAGGGATTTTTAAATGCCTATGGAGGAGTCCTGGTGTGCAGTGGTTAAGAACTTGTCTGCTAACTGAAAGGTAGGCAGTTTGTACCCACCAGCCACTCCATGGGAGAGAGATGTGGCCGTCTGCTTCTGTAAAGGTTACAGCCTTGGAAACCCTATAGGGCAATTGTCTGTCCTATAGGGTGGCTATGTTGGAGTCAACTCGACAGCAATGGGTTAAATGCCTGTGACCTGGTTTTTAGCCTGGCCTTTTTCATTTACAGAACTTTGAGGCCTGGCTACAAAAAAGGCTGGAGAAGTTCCTCCAGATGAACCATCCTGAGGAGCCAGCGGGGCCTTCTAGGCAAATCTCCAGCAGATTCTTTTGCTCTTCTTTCAGTTCTTTCTGTGACTCACCGTGTGGCCTTGGGCAGGCCAGTTGATGTCCTTGTGCCTTAGGAGACAAGGTCTGGCAAGCTGGGTTTTTACGTAATGTGTGTTTATTCATTGAAATCTCTGGAGGTCCTTCCGGTGTGATGAGTCCTCTAGAGAGGGCTTCCAAAATGAATGATAAGCAGGTGTGCGTTTGTTCATTCAGGACCAGGCAGTACCTTTGGTGCCACGTGCATAGAGTTAACAGTAAAGTGCCTGTCCCAAAGAGCTCCTCACCTAGAGGACAGTACCTGTGTCCTCTGTGATCAGGGTAGTAACAGCAGTGTGTGCAGGGGCTGTGGGGTCACAGAATGACCTGGGGCTGAAAGAACAGACTTGGAACACAACCTTGGATCACGATCCCAGCTGCTCTTACTAGCTCTGTGATCCTGGGCATGTTTTTAAACTTGCATGGGCTTCAGTTTCTCCAGAGGATGCTTTCTCTTCCTTTGTGGGGTTGAGGGTTCTGTGCAGTAAGAGCTGAGAATGTGGGCAGGTATTCTATGACTGCACTTATATGAAAGATCTAGAGCAGGCAAATGTTAACAGACCTAAGGGTATTAGTTGTCATCGGGGCAGACGGGAGGGAGGGGCTTAAGGGGACTCTGCTTAGGAGCTGTGAGCTTCTGTTACGGGTTATGGGAAAAGTTGGAAGTGGATAATGCCAACGGTTGCACAATGTGACAACTACAATGAATGTCACTAAAACTGTACATATTAAGAATGTTGAAATGTCAAATGTTTGGTGGTGCTGGTGGTGGTGTGCTCTTGAGTCGATGCCAACTCATAGCTGCCCTGTAAGACAGAGGAGAACTGCCTCATAGGGTTTCCTAGGCTGTGATCTTTACGGGAACTGATCGACAGGCCTTTTCTCCCACAGAGCGGCTGGTGGGTTCAAACTGCCAACCTTTCGGTTAGCAGCCGAGCTCTTAACCATTACATCACCAGGGCTCCTTAATGTTTTGGTACATACGTGTTTATCACAATCGGAAAAAAAGACAGCTGGCAAGGTGCCCAGCCCAGTGACTGGCACATTATAGACACTCCCTGGCCTTTGACTCTCTTCCCTTGGTCCTGCCTCCGTGTGGCATTTGAAATAACGACAGTTTACAAAGCACATTTGTCCACATTGCCTTAGCTGATTCCAACATGACAGTGAGGCATCGTGTGTATTCCGATGAGGAAATTGAGGCCCCAGCACAGGTAGCTGACTAGTGAAGAGCCTGTCTTTGAACTCAGACCTTTTAACTTCAAATCCCATATTCTTCTAGGTGATATATATCAAAATAAGTGAAATAACTTTTATGAGAGTCTCATGAAGAGGCCTGTGTTTTAGAAGCCTGGAACCTGGGGAAATGGCCTAGTTGCAGAGTCTGCTGGCGTGATCAGTTGGCATGTGAACACCACAGGTTAATGTTCAAACACTGCAAACAGCGAGCGAGGGCAGCGGCACCTCAGGAAGGATGTGGGCCGGGGGCAGTTCTGGGGAGACAGTAGATCAGGTGGTGAATGCTTGTGACAGACTGGATACTTCCCTCCTCCCCTCCAAGGTGGTGTGGCCCCTGCAAGATCCTGGGGCCGAGGTTAGAGAAGATGGTGGCCAAGCAGCACGGGAAGGTGGTGATGGCCAAAGTGGATATTGATGACCACACAGATCTCGCCATCGAGTATGAGGTATGGCTGGGTGGGGGGGTCACCACAGGGCAGCCAGGGTGGGGGGTGTCTTGGGGGCCACGGGGCAGCCAGGGTGGG